ATGGTTAGGCCCAAAAGTAGATACTTCATTACGTCATTTACACTAATTCATACACAGGTGCGCTCACTACACCTTCAATTAATCCACACAGACACGTGCGCTCACTGCATGTTAGCCACACTCACTGTGGCACTGTGATCACAGTTTTCTGACGCCATCAACCTCAGTGACTTACTCAATTTCACACCATGAATGGGAGTCGGTTAGCCCTTACCTCATGGATACAACGTGTGCGGTCATGGGCCCCTTAGCAAAGGTATTGGTCAGAGGCCGAGTCAGGAGAAGGGTGTGTAGCCTATAGTGCACCCACGCTCACTGTTGGTGTCACCATCATCCTCTTTTCCCCAAGATATTCCTATTGTCTCCATCTTCCACATTCTCAGTGTATCACTGTAACCATTCATCATTTTCAACCATTCTAAACACACCACAATCACAATCAATATGCCATTTACAGACATTCTCAATCATGACACTTATACAACCACTTCATCACACAAATTACTCAATATCAATCATACTAAGTTTCACACAAAATTTCCATCACAACCCTATTACAATCAAGTCATTTTCATCCAAATACACATCTTCATACGTTTTATCTCAATCACATTCAATATATAACAATATAAATGAATTCAAACACAGAGATAGGGTAGAGTTCTCCTTTTACTGTGGAATGAAGACCCACAACATAATCGACAATAGAAGAGTTCCTCACACGAATTTTCACCCTGTAATGCCTAAAACACGATCAGAATCTTCAATATAAGGTGCAAACAGTATTGGAAGCAATTTAATCGGTGAAATAGGGTGAGGTATTGAGAGAATCGAAGGAGAGGTTGAAGAGGAGATGGGAAATGTGTTTTTCCAACCCTAAACTCCTCATAAACCCCAAGAGTCGTGACATTCTCGCTGCAACGAGGTATCTCTCGTTACAGCGAAAATATTAGACAAAACTACATTTTGTTTTCTGTTTAATCTCGCTATAGTAAGACTAAACCCATAAAACTATCCCTCTTTATTGCTTTCTCGTTACAGCGAGAATCCCTTTGCAGCACCACATCAGCCTATACTCTCAAACATTTTCAATCCAATCACAAGTCAACATTCACAGTTCAACCACAACATAGGTATATATATAATTTTTTTTATTTTTTTTTATCACTAATATAACTTTAGATGTACATTCAAATAACAATACATACACTTATATTAATAATTAAATCAGAATTACAAAACTCAAGGCGTTAGAGTTAACTTACACTTATATCTATATTGATTCACCAGCTAATGTCAAAAGTTATTTTTAATTGATGTAAATGGCTGATAAGTCTGTAATTAGGCTCTCTTTTACAGCCCATATATTCATATTTGACCTTTATCTTATTTGGGTTTTACACTAATTTGTATATTAATTGTACAGTTTGGTATAAAGAGGCCGCAAGTGAATTTTGAGTGCATTTTGGGCTCAAATTGATAGAAGATTAGAGCTTCGTAGTATACAGCACGCCTAGACCCTTTCAACAAGCACGGGGGTGCTTCGAGCCCATGCACGATCATGCTTAAGGCCTTGCACGACCGTGCTCATCTGCGGGAAGCCCAATTAATTAGAGTTTTTAGGGTTTTCAAACCATATTAAAAGGAAGACCGAAGGCATCGTAAGAGGCATCTTGGATATACCGTTTTACACCATTTTATATTGGCTTTTGCTCTGGGATACATTTCATCTCGTCTCTCTTGCACGGGATCTTTGGCACACTCTTGGCGGGACTTGGAGCTTCAAGCGACTGTACTTGAAGATTGGGAACTCATCACACTCTAGTTTTTCTATTTCTTTTCTTTATGGCTTTATTCATGAATGTTTTAGTTCTTTTCTTTAGCATGAGTAACTAAGTCCATAGCTAGGGCTATGAGAACTATTGTTTATGAATTTATGGGATTTTGATGTTTGAATCTTAATTTGATTTCTGTTATGTGATTAGATTTTATCATATTGCGCTTCTTTCTTAATCCTAATTAATTATATCGTCAAGCGACTGTACCTCGGTTAATTAATAGATCTATAGGGTAAAACGAGACAAAGGATTAGGTGGACCAAACCAATCTTTCTTTTCTAATCGTTATTAAATTAACATGTTCATAGGTTCCTTAAGCTTTCTTAAATTGATGTCTTACATGATCATTGGGGATGTTAATTTAGAGAAAAGAATATTAATATTGCATGACCATTGGGTATTAATAGTATTTGTATGAATGATTGGTAATCACAAGGAAATCGGATTTAGAGTTAAACAGAAAAATAACATAACAGATTGAATGAGAAAACCCATATGCCTTAGGTTCCTCTCCGATAAGTTTAACCAAGACGTGCAGTGTATTCCTTACTTTTAGTTTTATAATTGATTTTATAAATTCTTATTTTTAATCAATCTCGTATCCTTGAAGCTTAAACAATTGAATTAGAAAATTTTTAGTAATTGAAAATCAATTATTGTGGAACGATATTTCGGGAACTTAATTTAAGAACCCTTTATTACTTTTCGATGGGTATACTTGCCCTCTATACAATGGCCTTTTTCTTTTCCATTAATAAAATAGTGAAAAAGAATTATGCATTATATTAAATATCAATTCAAAATGTTTCTCAAGTCTTTAAAACTACAAATATAATAATCATTTTGGCTATGTTTAGTAAAATGAATTTAAAGTTGTGAGTTTCTTCTTCTAGCTATAAAACTAGCAAAAAGCTTATAACTGTATAAATAATTTATAGAATTAAAATTATTTTACAAAACTAGTTGTGCAACTAGTTGATTTGTATTAAGTGATTTAAAAGGATATGTAATTTTATATTAACATAATACTAAATACTAAAATTAATTATTACTTATTTTATTTATTTACAATCAATTAATTAAATAATTAAATAAAAAATAAAATTGCTCTTCATATATATTTGAGCATAAAATATTTCTAAGTCATATATTTTATAATACGGATAAAAATGATAAGAGAACAAATAAAAAATTAAAAAAAATAAAAATGTTATGAATATAAAAAGAATAAAATTAAAGTATTTTTAATTGTATAACAGATAAGTTATTTTTTTTATTAAAAATAAAAATATCGGTAACTAACTTTTGAAAGCTAAACACAACTTTAAATAATTTTTAAAAGTTATAACCTTTCATTTTGTATTTATCAAATAACTCTACAAACTTATTAATTTAATGAATAAGTTACAAATTCTTAAACGACTTACAAGCTACCTTCACTAACATAACCTTTATATGAGAGGTACTACTTAATATTTTTTTTGTTTAACAAGCAAATGTTTTATAAAAAAAATTTAAATAACAATTATTGCTTTTATGAAAAATGCTCGTTATACAATTTTTTTTATCATAAGCTTATGAACACATGATAATTAATTTTTTAAAAAAAATTATTAAAAATTATTTATTACATAAAAATATAAAAATGATTAATAATTTGTTAATTATTTTTGTATAATTTAATTTATTCATTTATTATACAAAATTGAAAAACCTTGTCGTATAACTTCAGAAATAAAATTAAAAAGGATGTTTTAATTTAGTATAGAAGTTCTTAAAATAAACATTTGGTAAATTTAATGTAACTTCGTAACATATATTTTTAATTTGATTTTTTAACACACTTTTTATTATTTATTAAAAATTATATGGATTTTATTTTTGAATTAAATATTTTTATATTTTTGTAATTTTTAATAATTAAAAAAAGACGTTAGGGAGAGTCTATTGCTAGTCATCCCCCCTCAAAGTCAATAGCTAGCTCAGAAAACGCTACGGCCACGTAAAGTATGGTCAACTGAGGGATGAGGTAACTTTGTATGAGGGAAGGAAATAACAAATCGTGGCAGAGCGTGGAATATGGAAAACGTACAGGTCACCATCCCGTATCTTACTCTTCAAACTCCATCTCAACTTTTCATTTTTTCCTATGAAAAATATTTCCATAATTATATTTTTATCTTTTTGACATGATATTTTTTTTCATTTTTTAGTTGATTAAATTCTTTTATTTTTAAAATTATGTTTTTAATTTCTTTATTAATATTTTCAAACTTAAATCTTAATATATATTGAATCAATTAAATTATTTTAAACTTTCGTATCCTTAAATCATATCAATTAAACATCAATTTTCCATAAAAATATACAAAAAATCATCTTTGAATATTAATCTTACATCTTAAATTATTTTAAATCTTGTCAAAATTTTATTGATTTTTGTTGTTTTAAACATTTCATATTTTTATATATAATAAATTTATCATAAACTCGTTAAATATTTGGACAAATAATAATAATGTGTGGTTTTTAAGTAAAATAAAATTAATTTGAAAAATTTTAAAAATAGAAAAATTTAGTAGTTAAAAAAATTATAAAGACTAAAATCACACATAAATTGAAATAAATAAATAAAATGCAATTAAACCTAAATATTTTTAAAATACAAGCATAAGAACTCACAATGTTTGTGTGTACGACTTTGTTTAAATTATGTAGATACACCATACCTTTGGCAAACTTTTGCTTGTCTTAGAGGAATTGTGTTAGTGGCACTTTTTTAACTGGAAAAAAATGGTTTTCTGATATCATAAAACACTAAAGCACTCCCTATTGTATAGTTACACAGAAAGAAAGTATTTTCTCATGAATCTGACAAAGCCAAAATGAACAAAAAAAAGCTTTGAAACAAAAGAAAAAAAACAAGATGCTGCGCAAAAATTAATCTTTTAATTTATTCAGAATATTTCATATCATAAAAATGTACAAAAGAATAAAAAGAAAAAGAAAAGTGTAAGTTATATATGATAAACACATTAAACTGTGATCATGTTTGTATAAATACTTACATTTTCTTTGTTAATAAAAAATATAAAAAGAAAATTCCAAAGCACTTACTGAATGCAGTAGTGCTCAAAGTGCTTTGTTAAAAAATTTTGTAAATCAGCAGTGATCAGTGGCCACATCAGTGGTTGAACCAATTCCAACCTGCAACCATGGCGAAGAACTACCAGCAATGTTCATGTCCTTAAGCTCACTAAGTTTCGCCAACTTGATCTTACTATCAGCTTCATTATCCACGTTTTGCATTGAGTTATTATTATTATTCTTGTCTTCATCGTTGTCATTATCAACATTGTTATTATGGTTGTGAAGACTCTGACACTGACTATTGTTATCATCTTTAAGATCCTTTGTTGCAAGCCATGGTTGCAAGTAAATTTCCGTAGACACGTTCCTTCTTGAAAGGTCATTAGTGGGTGCAGGAAGGTTAAGGTCTAACTTGAGATCAAGTGGCTCAGAAGAGGTATCAAACTTTGGTATTTGATCCATGTGATCTTGGAATTGTTGAAATCTTGTTAATGTGGATGTGTCAGGAGCATTTGAAGTGATCCAATGGCACCTTTTGTGACCCCCCAATGCTTGTCCTGAAGAGAAGCTCCTATGACAAATGGAGCATTCATGAACTTTGGATTTTCTCTTAGAGGAAGAGGCTAATGTGGGGTTAGAGCCGTGGTCAAATTGGAGGGCGGAGTTTGATTTTGTAGGGAAGAATTCTTCATGTGCAATGACATCATCCTCGGTGAGATTGTCATCAAGGTTGTCTAGTCTTGCAGCAAAACAACCTTTAACCTTTTTGTGACTTGCTCTATGGCCACCCAATGCTTGGTGGGAATTGAAAACTTTCTTGCATGCTTTGCATTCAAACAAGCCCTTGGCAACCCCTTTGGCCTTGTTATCAATGAGGTTGTTGTTGTTATTGTTGTTATTAACTTTGCATGACAATGGTGAAATGAAATTCATGGGATTTCTTCTTTCTTCCTCTTTGCTAGCTGAGGCAGAAGATTCTTCAGGTTCAGCCACAAGAGGATCTACAATGGCATTCGATAACATCATTAAACAATTTGCAAGGTCTTCTTCTTCGCTTGATGGGCAATTGTAATTGAAGCTACCAACCTTTGTTCTCAAAGACCTTTTCCTTTTGGACCAACCACATCCTCTACGAGCACCAACGCCACCATCATCAGCATCAGAGCCTGGAGAGGAGACAAGGGACTCAGCATCTTCTGAGGTGCACTTTCCATGTTCAAGAAAAGATTTCCATGATAAGAACTCTTTGCCACAATTCTCACATACCCTACAGCTCTTTAGCCTATTAGGATTTGTTCTTAGAGCATACATGCGTTTGTTGCTCGGTGGCACATTTCCACCAAGCCTATCTTCCCAATCACTTGCTTGATCATCGTCATCCATGTGACCACTTTCATCTCCTATGCCATGTGCCCTCATGTGTCCTCCTAAAGCTCTTCCACAACCAAAACCTTTCTTGCAAATTTTACAAAAATGCTTGAAGTTTGATTGTTGATCCACAATCAAAGCCATATAATTATGAGAGTTAATAGGTTGAATGGTAAAAAAAAAAAAAGAAGAAGAAAGAAGGGGGAGGGAGAGGGTGAAGGAAGGAATGAAAGAAAGAGACAGATAGATGAGATTAGGAAGTGAGTTAAGAATAAAAAAAGGGTGAGTTTGTTCTTGTAGTGATAGTTGTTATAGGGTTGTATGGTGAAAATTAAGGGGTAGTAGTCCTAGTTTTTAGTTGGAGTATTGGTTGGGTTGATTTGTGGATGAGAGAGAGAAATGCAAGAGTTATTTGACAGCAAGAGAGTGTGGTGACAAGTGGAAAAAGGGTGAGAGGGTGAGAGACTTTTTCTACGACTTTGTGGTAGTGGCGCCGCCTGTCAAAGGTACCAAAGGAGGTCCGTGGAGTGTGTATGTATGTGATGGATGGAGAGAGAAATTAAGAGTGTGTGCTTTCTTTCTCTTTTTTGTGTCTCTTTTGTGAATTAGTGAGTGGAGGGAGAAGAGAGTGGTTCAAACTACCATATCTATTCATATCCCTATAATTCCAAACCAAGGAAACTTACCTATGCTTCTCCTTTGTTGTCGGTTGGTTTATATTTCTTTTCCACCCCCAAATATATCATTTTTCATCTTTATAGTAATCTTAATTTGTGATCAAGCTAGTTTTGTTTAAAATTAAACATTTTACTTTCTTTATTTTCTTCATTTTCTTCATTTTACATGTTCTGTCTTTTAAAATGGTTAATATATGTGTATATTTGGTACTTTATATGAAATGTTATACGCGTATCTGAATGAGTCTATTTATTCTATGTTCCCATTGCACATTGTGAGCCTTTCATTTTGCAAAAACTTGTGTGTGAGTCAACATAAAACTATATTTATCTTGAGTACGACAAGGAGATAAATGCCCGAAACATCTGGATCTATGATAGAGGCTTGGAGAATGATCTCATTTTAAGTCCATTTGTTTTCTAAATCAATTCTAATGCTACTTTTGGTGTTATTGCAACTTTGACACATTCTTTTAACTAAATTCCCACTTAGACCTCTTGAAAACTCAATTTAAAACTATTTATAATATAGCCTTTTATCTAAACATTTTACTAAATTAATTTAAAGATTGACTTTTCTTTTCATTGTGCATATTTGAATTTGTTGAAGTTAAAGATATTGCAAAAATTTATATTTATTGTAACAATAATAATTACCATAACAACTATTAAAAGTTTTTACTGTAATAAGTTTGTGATGATATTTTAAATTGTTGCCGATAGTCATTGTAACTCAAGTTGTCATTAAATTAGTACCGATTTAAAAGATTAATTAATTTTATATTGATAAAATAATTCATATTTTAATTGACTATTTGATTCACCACTGTAATCTTTATAATATTTGATTTTATTATGTAATTATTTTTTATATAACATTTCATATAAATCTATGTTTGAAGTATTTTTATTGTTTTTAAATTCATGTTATGCATTTATTTTGTAGTCTACATATATTATAAAATAATTTTAATTTAATACTAAATATTTATTTTATGTAAGCTTAAAGTTATGGACTAAATTTAAAGTACTATAGATAATAAATATAAATAAGTTTATATTATTTCTTAGCTTATTTAATTTACAATTTCAATCATTTTTTTAAATTTTTATTTACAAGTGTACAAGTATTATCCCTAATCATAATTTGTAAATATAAATTATTTTAGTGAAGAATTATGTTTTCTTATTAGTAAAATATTAAGTTTAATATTAACAATGATTGATAAAAAAAACTGTCACTAATACTTTTTATTAATGAAAATTATTTACGACAAACATATTTTTTTTCATTGTATGTAAAATTATAATGGACTTATAATTTTGTCACCATTATAAAAAAAAAAAAATTCCAATGAAATAAAAATTAATCATATATATCATAAATTTAATAACAAATTTTATACATGTCACACAATTTTAGTAACTTCAAATTATATTTCTTATAATGGATAATTAAATTGAAAAAAAAAAGGAACTTTCGAGAGAGTTTCAACACTTTATTAGTTTTTATTTCATAACTTGCATAAGAAAATCAGAAACAAAAGATCACACGTGTGTAAAAATGTAGAAGCCTTCTTGAGAGTGTAAAATGAATCAATCAGTAATTGTGGGTGCTGTTGCTTGTGAACTAAAGTTGGAATCAATAGAAGAGTTTGTTTTGACTATGATTTATAAATAAGTATAAATATATAATCATGGTTCCAACTCCAGTTTTTTTTTTTTCCACAGCTTCTTTTTATTCTAGTTACAATTAAAGGCAAAGAGTAAAAGAGAGTGTGACAGCGGAGAAGCTTTTTTCTATTGAATGCTTTGCATGGCCCATGGGGGAGAGTTTCTATGGTGTGCATGGTGTGGCACATTGCTTTGTTGGTCAAACCAGAATCACGAGTGCGAACAACATTTTTCCCTTTTGAGACAACCTTTTCGGATGACGCTGTACGATACTTGTTTTTTAAAAAAAAAGGAAAAATATTAATACGAATTGTGAAAAAAGAACTGTAAATTGAAAGTTAAATTAAATTTAGAGAACGAATATCAATTTTGCTTATTTTAATTGCTAATGATATTTTTATTTTGTAACCTTTTACACTCAGAACTGCTAAATTGCTAAATAGTACCAACGAAATCACGTACAAAATGTTACGAATCAATATATTAATGTTATATTTTTAAAATTAAACTTTAAGAGAACTGTGAGGATTGATGGAAATTACGTTACAAGAGTTATTATTCAATTTTTTTTATATTTTCGTCGACAATCAATTTATACTATGTAGCATTATAGAAGGAAACATCTACATTATGATGGGATTAACTCTTTCAATGAGAATTTTTTTTCATATACAATATTCCAACTCAAGACTTTATTTAAAAGGAATCAAGCATGTTATCCTTGAACTAACTTCAGTTGGTATATTATTTTTGCTTTAATTTTATCATAATACACTAGACACACACGTGTATATAAACTACTGCAAAAAATGTTATAAGTAAAATAATTGTCTTAAAATTTTTCAACGATAATATAATTAATTTAAGGGTGTAAAGCATATCTCATTTCGTGTACCGGGTCTATGCCTCCCCACATGTCACGAGTGCTCGGATTCAAATAGCTGGCATTTCTAAACAATTAAAACTTGAAGGTTACCAACTCACAGGGGTCTACATCATATAGAACTAAAATAATTCAACTCTATATTTTGGTTAGCAAGTCATTCAACACTCAGAAATTTGCAAGAAAGAACTTTGTGTTATTGTTACAATTATCTATCATAATTTAAGAAACTTTATGGTGATTTTTTTTCCCCCTCTTCTGAAGCTATTGACGATAGCAATGGGTACAGAAATGAGGAGTACGGATCCAAGGGAATTTTATCTATCAAAGATTTGTACTATAATGCTCCTGGAGATATTCAGGAGGAGAAAACCAACCAAGTGGTTCGGTGCCTCATGCAGGAACAGGTGGCAACTCATTGACGGTGTAAAAAATTGTGCAATCTATTGAGGTTAACCTTGAATTGTACCACAGATTTACGTGACCCTCAAATCAATATGATAGTTTATGGTAGATGTTATGGCATCCCTAACAAAATATTTGTTTAAATTGTATTGAATTTTTATGTTGCCACATCGATATGGTAAACTACAATAGGTTGCGAGTTGCTTAGAATTGCAGGCTTAATTCTAAGTTTTCTGACTGCTCATCAAATAAGAAATAGCAAGACAATTATGCTTCTTAGAGATATGTGTTGCCGAACCAGCCTCAAGTCATTCACAAGGCAATTATAACTAGAAGAAAAGGTATGCATCAACTAGAAATTCAGCTATGCATAGGTCTCGAATTTATAAACAAAGGTGAACAAAATAAGTTAATCTGACTGTCATATATGGTTGGCAATTGATATACACCAACAATTCTAACATCTATAGTTTTCAATTTCAAGTAGAAGTGACTAAAAGAAACTAAAGCATACTTCAACAAGTGCAAAAACAAAACGATGCAATAGGAATGCTTTTTTTGCTTACGATAAAAAGTATTTTGATGGCTAAAAAATAGTAAAGGATTGTACCATAAAACAAAAGCAAAGGAATGGGTGGATCAACAGAATATCTAAATTGCAAAACAGAAACTGTGTATTAAAAAGTCCGAAATGAACCTAACTTCTTGATGTATTCCCTAAGCCTCCCTACGCACAAAATACAGCTTGCCCATCACATGAAGGACGGCAACAAATGCTATAAAGCCAATGCTCATTACAAGAACAACATTTGGGGAGATCTTGAGTCCAGGGGCGTCATCAGTATAAAATTGAAGCATAGTTCCAGCTGCTCCTCCAGAGGCCCCACCACCGGTTGCTCTCCTTCTCCTCATGCTTGCGGTAGCTGCTGCACTTCCTCTTGGGGGAGCTGTTCCACCTAAAGCCATTTTCTGAAACACGCATTTCATACATACATAACGAATGTTAAACTAATAACACCAACATACAAAACCTTCTAAAGAATCAACAAGTACAATTTCAGCTTCTCATAACTCACCTCAAGAACATTTTGAAAACAGGTTCGTTATGCAATCACACAGAAAATCGAAAGTACAGCACTACCAGAAGAATTAAAAAGTATTGTGTAACATAATCTCATAAGCAACAGAAATCAAGATTTGGCATGTACATATTCATTTTAGAGCTTTTTCGGGAGTGTCAGCAAACTCCATTATGAAATCGAAAATTATTTTTTTTCACTTTCTCAAGTTCATAAAATTAAGAAGCTTTATTCTGCTCCAGTATCATTACATTTGCTATGAACGGACAAACAACAAGTGGATATGCATTTCCAGCAAAAGGTTATGGTGATATGTAGCATGGGTATGGGTATGAGTATTCGATACAATATGGTGACAAACATAAATACATTACCATATTAAAAATTAAGATACAGGAATAGCAAAATTATATTACGTAATTTTTTTTGTATAAACTACTTATATTTTACTATTTTTATTGATTTCTTTATTTTTTGAATATATCTAAATTTATATTAGTTTGATATCATCATTGTATTGCTATTGATCATTAATATGTTAAAATATTTATTAAAAATACATAATCACAATCAAGTTTAAAAAGTCAAGTAGTAATATTAATCTCTTAATTATCTAAGAAAAAAATGTATATTTAAAAGATTTTAAAGTAATGCAATTAAGCTTGGATGCTATGGCCATGACACCGTATCTAGCACGAATACGATATAACAATTTTAAAGTATCTGTGCATCATTGTAAATTTTATCACATAACAATCTTAAGAATTCAAGATCGGCAAAACCATGTGTTCTCTACAGCACAGGAGCCCTACCCAGACCCCAAAACACAATCAATCAATTTTGCCTAATTGGTAAGCCCCTCTATTAAACAATCACAAACCCTTATAACAAACTTACAATTGCAGAGATTGAGAAAACCTCATACAACGGAAAACAAAACAAAAATTGGATCACACCCTCATAGTCCACATCAATCACAATAAAAGCTATCAGAGATCATTATACAACGAAATCCATGAAAGTTAATATAATAAACAATTCAAACCAAAAAAGCCGTCAAATTCACAATTAAAAAATTCCAGCAAAAAAAAAAATCAATGGAGAATAACAAATCGTCGACATAAATCTTAAATTTCAGAACCCTAAAATTTTAGGGGAAAAACATAGATCCGTGATAAGCACATATAATAATCTGAGGAACGAGAAGAAAGAAAACGAAACAAAAAATTGAGACGAACCGCAATAATTAAATCCGATCAGTGAGGTTCGTCTTGTCGGAGGTTTGAGACGGAGAGCTTGCCGGTAATTTAGAATTCCGGTCAAATGGGTGCATCTTTTGCTATTTATAAGTGAGTTTACGGATATTGGATATCGTTAAATTAAAAGTAGTAGTATTATAAAATTTAATATATTTTAAGAAATTAAATAAGAGTAAATATTTATATTATATAAAATACGATAAAATTCAAAACATAAAGTAGAAAAGTATATTAAGGAAAATACCAAAAACAATGGTATATTACGGAAAAAATAATATTTAAAAATAAATTATGATTGAATTTAAAAAATAAATATTTAAAGCAGGAGAAATCTCATGTAATCATGAAAAAGAAAATAAGCTCTTAAATTTCTTTTAATATAAATTTTAAACATATATTTTTATTCCACATATTTTTTTGTTAGAGAGAGTTTTAATCGAGTAATATTACTACGAGCAATAGAACTTTCTCTATTAATATTTAATATATTTGCATTCAATTTTTAAAAATATTATATTTAATAATTAAAATTTATATTAAAATTAATTTTAATAAAAAATTTCAAATATTGTATAAATAATTTTAAATTTATATAAATTTAAGAAATATTGAATTTTTATTAATAAAAAGTATTTTATTATTTAAATAAAAATATTTAAATTTTATATTAAGATTGAATTTAACAATTTTTTTCATCTTTAGTAATATAGTGTGTCAAAATTCAAATTTTAAAAATTTAAATTAAGATCGTTAGAAATACAATATTCTTTAAATTTAGTTTATTTGATAAAAATATCTTTAATATAATATAATGCATTAGTATTTAGAATTTAGATCTAATTAAATTTAAACATATTTAAATAAATAAATAAACAAAAATGTTTAATAAAATAATTCACGTATCTTAATGAGTGTGAAAATAATTTCTAAAACAAATTCTCTTTCAAAAATAAAAACTCAATAGATAGAGTAAATAACAAAAAAATAGAAGAAAATTTAACTTTATTCAATCCAAGAAAAAATAAATATCATCCTACTATTAGTTATGTAAAATTAAGTTATTATTAGGTAAATTGGGTTGTTTGGGCCAATGTTACTAGTAGATAGGATAAAAGAAAAGTGATTTTAAGATTCTATATACTAAAAAAGAAAATAATCCAATTTTTAGAAATTTTTCTCAGCTAGAAGATGATCTGTGCTTTTGATATCATTATTAAAAAATATTAATTAAAATAGTTACTTGAAATAGTCTTTAGTATAGATTTTTGAAAAAGGTATTTGTGATATTTTAAAAAAATAAAAAATTAATTATGTTGAAAATTTAATTCTTAAAATAAATAATTTTATTAGAATAAAATTATAAGCAAATTAATCTAGTTACTTTATTGCAAATTTTAAATAGAGAAGAATTTATTTAATATTAACACTTGCTTAAAAGCTTTTAAAATGTAGAAAGAGAGTTGAAGACTTTTTTTTTAAAAAATTTAAACTCTCATAAACTTGTAATTTTTTTAATAAATCGTTTAGTTTATTTTTCTCTTATTTCTTAAATTATTTTCTTATTTTTTCATATAAACTCTCAAATAAAACTTAAAACTTTCATAATGTATAAATAATAATAAATGAAAAGATCGTATTAAGATCCAAGTTTATCTCATAAAACATGTTTAATAGTAGCAGTCTTGAATATTTAATTTTATTTAAGGTTGTTAAAACATACGGTACAATGTGTAGAAAGAAGAAAGTAAAGAAAATAACTATAAAAATAATGAACGTAAATTCTTATTACATAAACAAAGAAAAGAATGATTATAAGAAAAATTACTTTGAGAAAGAACAATTCAGGCTATTTATAAAACTAAAAAATAGATACAATAACAAACTAACCACAATTAATAACAAGTTAATTAAAATCAGACTAATAACTAATAACTCTAGAAAACAATATATCATGTAACATGTTCCTCATGATAGAATACATATATAATACATTCAAAGCTTGGAAATAAAAACTTGGGAAGGATTAAAAGTTAAAGATTTTGTCAAAACTTTAATATGAAAAAAACTTGATTCAACTTTGTCTTTAACAATATGGCAATTCATCTCTATATGTTTAGTTTTTTGTGAAAAATAAGATTTGCAGCTACGTATCTTGCTGATTTGTTGTCATAAAATAGTATCACTAGTAATGGTGATAGAATGCCTATAAAAGGTAGACTATCCACTTAGCTTCATATGTTGCTAGAGCCATGACTTTATACTATGCTTCCAAGGATGATTTGGATACAACAAATTATTTCTTACTTTTTAAGGATATCAAAGATTGTCCTAAAAAGGAATAGAAACCCAAAATGGATCTTAGTGAGTCAATGCAAGTACCTTAATTAAAATTTGTATAACCTATGAATTTCAAGTTTGATGTGGCTAAAGAAAAAAGACCTTTCTCTAGTGCATTTTTTATGTGTTTCAACACCCTAAGAGCAACTTGATAGTAAGCAATAATAGGATAATCAAGAAACTGACTTACTTGTCAACAACATAAGATATATTTGGCATATTATTAGTTAGGTAAATCAATCTTCCAAACAATCTTCTATATTTTGTAACATCTTCAAACATATGTCCAAAAAACTTTATGAAAATTATGAGTGTGATTCATCGGTGTAAAACAAGATTTTGAAGCCAATAAACTCAAGGCTTGAAACAAATCCAAATTATACTTCTTTTGATTAAAATAAATGCTTTTAGAAAATTTGGCTCTACCTTTAAACTCAATTTTTTTTTTGAGTTGTCTAAAGTTTTTAATGCCAAGCTCTTTATAAAGAGTTTGTTTAACATAAATTGATCTTATTTAAATCCTCACTAGCAAGCACTAAATCATCAACATAAGTAAAAATAATTGTGAAGCCTTTTGATGTTCTTTTTATGAATAAAGAATAATAAATTATGGATTTAAAATAATATAATGAAATAAGAACATTAGTCAAACTAGCATTTCACTTTCTCTTAGCTTGTCTAAGTCTATAAATAGACTTAGTAAGTTTACTAACTACCTTCTTGTTTTGTAATTCAATACATAGTGAAGGCTTTATGTATACTTTTTCATTAAGATGGCCATATAAGAAGGCATTATTTTCGTCCAATTGGTGTAAGTGCCAATTAAAAATTGATGTTATTAAAAATAATAGTATGATGGTTGTCATCTTCATTACAGGACAAAAGGGTTTTTCTCCAATTAATATGTCCTTGTGCCTCTTAATTGACCTATTTGCATGATGCTTGACTTTGAAAATTCACTTGCATTTAATGAGCTTTTATCCAAAAAGAAAAAATGTTAGAACCTAAGTCTGGTTTTTCTCCAAAGAGCCTACAGTCCAACATTAATAACATATCTTCAACAACCATGTTGAACAACTTCCTTTTAAGACTTTGGTTCAATATCAAAAAAATTAGCAAAAGTTTAGTATTTATGCAAATAAGATAAATTATTATAAGAAATATAAAAAAAAATAAGATACATGATATTTGGATGGTTTGATGAGCTGCCTGTTGTGGCTAATGTACAATGATAATCCTTCAAATTTGGTTGAGGTCTTCTCTCTCAGAGAATTTTTCATAGCATTATAATATCCATTATTAACTTATTGTGCTTGGTTATTATTAATATAAATATAGGTTTTGTTGTATTAAAGAAACATTATCTTTAAATTGTTGATTATTGTTCTTATCTATCATAGAAAAATTTTGTTCATAAAACAAAATATATATAGAGATAAAAGTTTCTCAAGTCTTAAGATCATAAAGAATACAACCCTTTATACTACTTTGATATCCTAGGAATATACATTTCCTAGCTCTTAATCAAGTTTGGTTATGATAGAATGAATAGTAGAGACAAAATACAAACAACCAGAGCTTTTTAAATAAGAAATATCATAAAGTTTATTATGTAGAACTTGATAAGATGAATTTTCTTTTAGAAAATTTGTAGATAACATGTGTATAAGAAAAAAAAAACATGATTAACATGATTTCAAAATTATTTAAGTATGTCTGAAACATAAAAACTTTAGTAGTACCTAAAATATGTTGATGCTTTCTTTCAACTATGTCATCTTGTTGAGGTGTCTCAACACATAAAGTTTGGTACAAAATTTCTTTTGTTTTAAAACCACTCACACATGTTGAATTTCTTGTCATTTTCAATTATAATGATTTTGAATTCTTTTATTGAATTGAGTCTTAACTTGAGCAACAAAAGTTTGGATCAAAGAAGTTAGTTTACTCTTTTGTTTCATAAAGTAAATCTAAGTACATTTAATATTATTTTTAACTATGGTTAAAAATATTTATGACAAAAAAATGGAGGGAACAAATAAAAGACTTCATATATCTACATGTATCAAACAAAAAAATACCATCATAAGTACTACTATAATTAGCAAAAATAAGTCTCTTTTTGTTTAGCTAAATAACACACTTCACAAAGAATTTTGTCTTTATTGCATTTCACAAATGGTACATAGTTTGTATATCTTTGAGTTTATGATAAGAGAGATGACTCAATCTTAAATGCCACACATCATTACTGTAATTGTAAAAAGTGTTTACACATTTCTAAAATAAAAAAAAAAATCTAACTATTTTGAAGGATTCATTGTATAAATTATTTTGCATGCTAGTTATACCAATCATCCTCAAAGTAGATTTCCTCAATTTGGCAAATAGCATAAAAAATAAATAGTTTGCATGATAAAGCTTTAGTTATCTTTGACATTGAAATCAAATTAAGTTTAAAATTAGGAATGAAAAGGACATTTGTCAAGTAGAAATGTTTGAAAAAAAAACTAGTTCCAAATATAGATGTGGTAACTTAAATTCCATCTGATAGTTTTCTATGAATGAGTTTAATTTTTCTGTATGTTTGGAATTAATTAATAGAATTGCATACATGATAACTAGCTCATGTATCGATGATCCAAAAGTTAGAACACAAATGATTAAAAATGTTACAAATGATACCTAATAGTTTTGAATCAAAATCCTGTGTAATAGAAGTAAAATGATTAATTATGTGATTGTTAGTCTAGGTTGTTGAAAAAAAAAT